TTATTAACCAAGCTTGCTCGGGACCGTACTGGAAGAGTATCAGCCCTCAGTTTTTTTTGTTCGGACCTCGCTGCGCTCGGTCCGTACTGTCAAGACCTCAAGCCGATATTCTCCCAGTACGGCCCTCGCGCTTGGTTAATAAGATATATATAATGATAAGAATAATTAAAATTAAAACTACCCGCTAGAATGTAACAATAAAATAATGAAATCCGGCAATAAGTTGGTGTTAGTTATACCGAATCCTTTTCTTAGAATTGAACTCACCCCTTTTATTGAGACTATGTAGTTTGAGGGTACATAATTGGGCACACCAATTGTCAATGTCAGCACGGGTTATGAAATCAGTTGCTCCAAAATTTTATTACTGATTTTGGACGTCCAGTGATGGCTTTCACTGCCCATGTAGGAATAATGATCAGAAGTAGTTGGTCATTGAAGATATTGGGCCTTAAAATACTATTATTTTTGGACTTTATCAAAACCAGAAAAGGCCGTCTTTACTTAAGGCAGAGGTAAGGGGAAAAATTGAAATGGAAAAGTTAAAACGATTCAATTTTCTACAATTCTAGTAGATATAGAACACAACCCAGTTGATTGAATTTGCAGATGGCTTTTCGGTTTGTCGCAGCAGCAGTCCAAAGTTAACTAATTAGTTATACAAAAACATAGGGATTGGAGCTTTTCCCAGGGGAACCCTATATCTCCCAGGAATTGAATATGTTGACCTTTGATTTTCAAACATTTGTTACATCATGATACTTAGCATTTGTGCCAAGATTGAGCCAAATCAGTGATTTGAAGTTTATCGTCCCTGCCCGGTTCTGCCTGGTTTTCTCGCAAACACGCTCTTAACCGACATATTTCTACCATTACAAAATAAAATATTTAATCATTAAAGAACGCTAAGCGCCCAGTCTCAAAAAAATGACACCTCAGCTCACTATTTTCTGATTCTTAGTAGCCAGCCTTTATAATTGGCCGCGTCCCTCAAAGCTCTTGTAATCGCTCTTTTTCAGCGTTGATCATTTAACGCACAAAGTAAATACAATCTAAAACTAAACCATATCAAAGACATCAATTTGTTATTAAGTAGCAAGAAACAAACAGATAATTCTCATCTTTATTGATAACATACACTGGATAATTTTTCAATACCTGATTGTGATCCTGCTTCCTGAAATCCTTTCTTTCTTTCTAGTTCGTCTTTTGCTTTTTGAAACGCCTTATTAGAAATTTCTATGATAGACAGAAAGACAGATGGATACATTTAATTAGTATGGTACACTACATTTCTTGTAGAGGGGGCCTCGGACTTAGGAGTCTACTGTTCGTATTCTCGAGCCCTCAACTCTACGCACTGTAGTTTATTTCGGTGGTCCTGGATTAACCCTCTCGAATGAGTCATGAAGATAGCGTCTAATCGTGTCTATTCTGGTTGGGATATTTGAATTGCTCGATGGCTACTACAGCTGATTGATCCCAAAATACTAAAAATCGAAGAAGTAAATTTTGAAAATAATAGTTTTCTATTTGTTTCTTTGTTTGTTTTTTTATTTTTATGTGATTAATCACGAGTTTCGCCCATTTCCACTTACCAGCGTTATCAATCAAACCTGCAAGATGTGGCTGATCTGCTCTAAGTGCCTCTTTGAAGGATTCGTATGCTTTCGCAGGTTTTCTCATTAAGATCTCCAACAACCTTTTATTTTTATTCATACGTGTATTTTCTGCTTCTATAATCTCTTCGTCGTCCGTACTAAATACTAAAGAAGGCGACATCCTCAGCAACACCTTTCCCGGTTCCATGTCGTTTGCCAGTTGGACCTTCACTTCCCTCAATAAGTTTCTATACGCTTCTGGCATTCTTTCCACCGTTTCACCACACGCCATGATTTTTTTTTGCCTTGTTAAAAAATAACAGAGCAAAAAATTTTCTCTTCACATTTTCATCAAATAACATCTAAGTTAACCACATCTTGATTATCTCGAGTGTTGAACCATGGTGTGTTGTGAAATGCGTTGGTGGAGAGAGACAAATTAGAGGGATTTACTGGTTAAGAGACTGAGAGAATAGAACCCCCTGATCATTGATCGGGAATATCAAGCAGAGTCATGTAACGTTCGAACCAACTCAAAAATGTTTACATGAAGAAGATAATTTGGCTTTATCACTTAGCTACTGAGATCAACTCATGAGAAAAACCGCTAGGAAATTCTGTAAAATTACTGTACGACGTACTGGCTTTCTCACAACTGCGTAAAGCACTTCGTCAGATCAGACTCGTCAAAGCATACCACTGATTTAATTATACAACTTCAAGTTCATATAGTACAAAAGTACTCGTTCTTTTAACAATGGCTCGAGATTTAAGCATTCAGAAAAGTCAATTAACAACTCTACTATCGAGCAACAAAACAAAAGTTAGAGGGATAAGACGACGAGGGATGCGAAGCTGCTTATTGAGTTATGAGAGGAAAATAGGAGCGAAGGAATGTGCACTTGTGTTTAGTTCCTCAGTTTCATTTAGAATGGTTTTGCATGCCAACAAAATCTGTTGTCCAAGTATTACAGCTTGAAGAAACGGTTTCTTGGCTAGTTGTAGTTACCCTTCTTCTTTTTAATAGTTATTAGCTTATGAAATTCGCAAGCAAATAAACGCCAATCACTCGCGTTTTACGTTTTTTGGTTTTACTCTATCTAATTCTTGTTTTAGATTAAATGGAAATGTTGCAGTTTGTCCCTACTTCGGCATCACACCATAAGAAATATTATCAAGTTCATCATGAATTATTTTATCACATGACTTTTTATCTAAACCTGAATCATATCAAATATCATAGTTTGCATCTATTTTATCAACTTTACTGTAAGGTTTTTGATACCGTTCAACTATCTCACCTTTTTAGAATTTTATTGTTCATCAAGTAGATTACAATGATAGGTCTAATCATAATTTCCCTGGAGTGACCTGACCAGCCTTCGGTTGGGGTAATTTTCCTATTAATTGGCGCGAATGAGACTTTCCCCTCTTTTTAAATCAATAGTTCCGTCTTTTTTTTTTTTTTTACATACAGAACAAAGTGAAAAGAGAAGATAAAACAAGAAAGTAAAAATTATGAAAAAAATATGAATTAAATGATGAGTTGCATGACTCATCATTACTTGAATAGTGATTTTACATATGAATTTTTGAACTATAAGTTCTATTAAGGAATGAAGAATGATTGGTGAACAAAAATTACTCACTAAATTTGGCTATTAAATATTTTTTGGTCTTTTGTATTCAATTTTATAAAAACTACATCGTGCGATTTAACAAGCTTGATTTAATTCCATAAGTGTTTCGTCTGATAATTTTAGCATTAACCAGTAGACAGTCGCGGTTATAGTAAATGGACTGTGAAGCGTCGAGACTGGTTCACTGAAGCAATCGAAGATTCGACTTGGGTTCGACTTTTGATTCATACGTCGCATCTCACATGGGTCGAACCCATAATGAACCAAGGTTTTAATGAACACCATGCGCGAAACAAGGTTTTAATGAACACCATGCGCGAAAAAGCCAAAATAGCACAAGAGAATGTGTTTGACGTGCGGTAATTACTTTTGTATGAGGTGTTCAGTATTCGAAAACGAACAGGACACTCTTGAGAGGAAAGTCAGAGTATCATGAAGAAAAGCAAAGATGACGAAGCAAAAACAAACTGCAAAACTAAAGTATCAGTAAAAGCAATTACGCAAACGCTCAATAGACGTCTTCGTCTAGCAAATAATATAAATGGTGTACCTCAGAATATTGACTGTGAACAAAGTTCAATTCGACAGAGTTAAACTCGACATTTGAATCAAATGCCGTATTTAACTGTTTTAGTGGACTAAAATTGGAGTTTAGTTCGGCACATATGAATGCGACTCGTGAGAATACTCAGCGATACTACACAACAGAACGTCTAATAAGATATATGTATCCAACTCTCTGCCTCGTGCTGGAGCTTAAGTTACTCTGAAGATTTCTTTTACGATCCTCAAAAAACCGAACTTTAGTTGTCAGCCCAACAGTACAATCATATTTTCGCCCTCAAAATGGATTTCACTCGAGTAGTGCATACGGATGTCGCTACAGAAGTTGAAATTACTCTTTTTATGAGGTCAAAATGACTACCTTGTGACGATGTAGCGATATGTTTAATCTTAGATTTTGCCATCGACTTGTGGCCGGACACTGTTTAGAAAGAAAAACGGTTGTTGCCAAAAAAGCGCAACTCACCTCGGAGATTCTCCGTCCTGATGAATTGACCAAGCTGCTTTCCACGAATTGTCCTGACTGAGTCGAGTATATGTTGCCGTTCTCGAGCCTCCAAAGCCCTTAAGATGGCGGAAGAGGGACCTTGTAGCACGTTTCAGCGAAATTGGATCATCAATTCATTGAAAAGCGTCACCTTTTGATCTTGACTCGCGCAGTATAATTATGTCGCGTATCCCAAATTCTTTAAGATTCACCGACTGTTAAGTCCTCATTTTCATCTAGACTGAGCGTTACTCCCTTTTCTTTACTTTTCTATTTATTAAACAAAACTCCTCTACAGTCTTGAGCGAGAAACTGTGCGTCGTGAGAAACCTTCGACATTCTCTGCGCCCGTTGCGTTACATCAAACTGGCAAAAATTAGAGGCACGCAGAAGAAAAAAATATTCGGGTGTGACTTGACATTGCTATGAAAACGCACTCACTTTATGTTACAGGCATGATCACTATCATTCGTCGTTTGGGATTTTGCTTCTGTATGACGCTGATCGGCCGAAAAGGTAACAATCCCAGAGCACCATCAGATCAAATCATAGCTGGTTGACCGAAAATTCAAAGCAAAAGGCGCAATTCCGTACCGAAGAAAGAGGTTGTTAGAGTAACTGATTTAAAAGGAATCCTGTATTGACATATCAAAAGGTAAGTGCTCTTGTATCTCTCCCAATCCTAATTGTTTAATACCAAAGTAATCCTCGCAAAATAATCCTCGTTAGTTTATACCGGATATAATGATGTATCATAAACTGATACCAGCGCAGCGCCGTGGTCGTCGAGATTTTCACCATAGCTTTATTGCTGGTTACAATGTCTTAACTGTAAACAATACCAGATTTTGTCTGTGTTTATCTATGTTTTTACTTATGAGAGGGTCTCCTTAAGGGAACGTCTGGTCGATGTCGCTTGAGACAGAGATTTCGAAATCCCTCGTGTATTGAGATAAATTCATGTATTCATATTAAATGAACAATCCACTTGATATTCTCCATTTTTCCAGAGGTCAAAGTTTACACGAGCGAACGCTGTTATGACGCTTTTTCGAGACTCCAATTTGACACAATTCAACTTGAAGGACTATTAAAGAAGAGTTGAGAAACTCAGCTCAAAACGAATACCACTGCCGTGTGTATACCATGTATATTTAATACCCTCAGCCGACTATTGTACACACCGAGTTTCAAACCAGCTAGTAATAGCCGGGAAAAACTTGAATGAACCCTTGTCGGTTAGCCAGAGTCAACACGCAAAACCCAGCCAAATTCGAATTAGATTTTTTTTTTTAAACAGCGAGGCGCTTTCATCTCATCTAGGTCAACGAGGTTAGCCAGGAGGTACGTACTATAAGGAATGTAACAAAGGAAAAAAAATCGTTTTCGCCTTCTATCAAATGTTGTAACTCTCTGAACTTGCCTAACTTTTGATAATCTCCAAGGTTTGCCGCTATTTGCATTGGATAAACTTGTTGATATGAAGCGCTTAGGCGATCCAATTCTGAGAAGTGGATCTAAAATCAAAATAAAAAATAAACATTAGAAAAAAATATATGCTATTGAAGCGTTAACTCGAGCCTCCTTCAGGAATTATCGTGAGATGAAAATGCGATTTTTCATGCAAGGTCGTAATAGCTAGTCTGCTCAGCTGTCGGTTGTAGTTAGGGAGCCCTCTAGCAAAATGCAAAGCCCCAAGGGGAAAGAAAAAGGAATGTAACGCCGTGTATAGTTCAAATCAAAATTTGCGATGGCTTCTACAATTATCAATTATAATACTAGTGATGATGTAAGCAATATCAAAATTTATTCGTCTATTAGCCGAGCGATTTTTTCACAAAACTTTACCAGAATCTCGAAAATTTCAGGTAAAGAAGGGTCCTCGGCTTCTAACGAAGTGTTTTTCCAGAAAAAAGATATTCCGAAACAGCAAAGTCAAAGGAAACATAGATTTATTCGTCTATAAGCCGAAATACTGCATGCAGAAATAAACAACAAAACAATTTGAAGTTGGTCATATTTATGCGGTCCTATTTAGGCGGTGGCTCTTAAAGAAGCCATTTGTTGTTTTCTGCGCGTAGCAAATACGGCTTACTGTTCGTCCTCGGCGTCGCTGTCGAATGTGTCTTTCATCTCCTCCTCATCCGCTTGTTCTGCTGTTTCTTTCGAGTATATTGCTTCATCTTTCGTGCCGTCTAGAGTGTTAGATTCCGCAGAATTGCCCATTCCCCCTATAGGTAAACAAACTCGTCACATGATACGGTATTAAAATTTGCGATTGTAGGGTGCGTGACATGTTTTGTTGAGTTCATGAACCACAATGAGTGTCGGGAAAACAGAGGAAAAACCATGTGCTCGGAGTTTTAGAATAAATACGAAACCTTGTGTTAAATCTGTTTGATTTGAGCGTGTAACACGGTCACGTAAAAAAGGAAACTTACGTTGGATTCTCTGCTCTGCAAACCTCATCTAGCTCCTGATATATTTCAGAGTGTAACGGCCCATCATTGTGTGTTTCGCTGATATCTTAGGCTCTCCATTAAAGAGGTTTTCTTGATCTCTCCTCCAGCGGTGGACCATAGACTCACTGATGCCGTACCTGTGGCTATCTCGGAATTGTTTTCGGTAATCCTTTTGTTGCATGCTAATGAGTTTTTCACTAAATCTTGTGATAAAAACATTTGTGAACAGTTACTTAACTACACCCGAACCGCTGAATTTTCCCAGTGACAATTCTCAATCGATCAGCATTGCAAAAGATAATGATTTTCGTCGGGTGGCGGTGACTGCCGAATTCACAAAAACAGAAAAAAGGCAAGTATATTAAAAAAGCTCCACAGGTTATATTCTTCGCCAACTGCAGTAATCACTTATTTTGAACTGTACAATACATTACAACTTGAACCACTCGAGAATGTTATGAGTCATTGGCATACACGAAATAAGTTACACGATTTCTCTCTATAGGTACTTTCCAACTTATCAAATGAGCTTTGTGGTAGAAAGACCAAAAACCAAAGCTACGCGAAGACGTAATGCAGACGTCGACTTCATGTTGTCATGTTGCATATATATGACAATTTTATTGTCGGCATGTAAACAAATAAACGTTCGTGATGAAGATAGCCGCTGCACCTGTGAAAACTTTCTAAATTACAATGGATTAGATTCTTTTTTGGGGGAAAATTCCTTAAAATAAATTTCACCTTTCATCAATCTTAACCCTGAGGAAGTAGAATATCTTTTAGGCCCGTGCAGTTTTCATTTGCAATCAGATTCCTCATGCATCGGCTATTCCATGGCATAACGCTGAGAAATTTAAGAATATTTTTTAATGTATGTATACCTGCTTAGAACTGAAAAGACGTTCCCGCAGTATTGCAAGATTCACGGGCAGCCTCATGCCATGCCACAATGCAGCGCGAATGAGCATCCTGTGGTTGGAGGGTGGTTGAGAGTCCAAAGCTTAGGAAGGTGCAACACTTGCCTGCTAACGTCTCGCTTAAAGGCGGGTATAGCCTGTGAGTTTAGAGCTTAGTGATGCGAAGGGAAGGTTTCATGTTTATCACTCAAGGGGAGTTCGCTTTTAAAAGGAAATTGGCCCACGAGAGTGGTCCTCTTAGTTTGCTGTTGTCTCACAATGTCTCCTGTGATTCACAGTCAAGTTCGTGCCTTGTTAAAGCCTCACCAGTAGGCTAGATCACTTTGAGGCCGTGGGGGAAGGGGGGGTTTGAAATTTTCTGTTAACAAAGCATGTGGTTTGAGTAGGGACATTGGTTTGCTGTGCATCTTCGTTATAACAATTTGGCGAATCCAACAAGGCACATATACTCAAAAGTGAGAAACGAAAATGGCAAACAAGTTATGCTGTCCTCGTGAATTAAGGAATGGGAAAGAATATTAGAATTAAAGTTGACAAAAATTAGAGGAAAAAATGGAAATAATTATATTTAAATATTCGTAGCTCTTTCCTCGGCTAGGCCTCCTAACCCATGAGGAAAGAAGATGTTTATTGCGTATCAAGGGATATGACTGTTATTAAGAGCTTATAGTTGGTGCCCTTTGTGTTCGTTCTCTTCCCTTCAAGTTTATACACCACCTTTTACGGCATGAAATCATGGTTAAATAATCAATACATGACCCTCTATGTTCAGCGTTTACTGGCTTAATCGGGAAACCCAGGAAAAAGCCGTTGATTTGTGTGAAATTATTTTTCGGTTAACGGCATTTTACTCTACAACTGCTGTCGCATAAATCCATTTGAGACAGAGTCTAAGATTCTCGATTCGATTTTAGTTTTGTGCTATAATGTTTTGGTAGTAGTATACAGGGCATATATGGAATAAACCGAGAAGTCTGGGTCCGAGTTGCTCGGCTGAGTGAGCTCTAATTAGTTATTCATACCATCTAGGTGCACGAGGGGTTTTTATGGGTTAGGGTTAAATCAGTGTAGGTGTAGGAGGGGTTTTTAGGGTTAGGGTTTAGGGTTAGGGTTTTTTAGGGGTTAGGGTTTAGGATTTCGTGTAGGTGCGTGAGTAGGGTTTACCGTTATTTAAAAAAAAAATTAACGTTACAGAGGTAACAAAGAAATCCAATATGGCGGAGGAATTACGTACAACAATGGTTTTGCATATAACAAATTTTATGTCACACAGCATGATATTTGTTTTGTAAATAGGTGACATGAGCTAGAAAAGCACTCATCATATCTTTGTGCAATTGATGGAAAGTAGAATGTTCTCCCACGCTGGAATCATAGGTTTTAATTTCGTCAATGTATTTTGTCAATGAATTTTGTCACTTGTCTGCGTATTTCACAAAGATCTTGCGTGGTGGCTTTTTCTTTTACAGTGGCGTAAAATTCGTCTAGGATGGCTCCGGCCCACTGGGGATTCTGCTTAATATTTTCGTCCATATGTGCTAGGAACAGTTGTTTTTGAGATGTCATTGTGTATCTAAAAAATTAACGAGGGAGCAATGGGTGAAAACAACCGCGTAACCGCGTTATACATTATGTTTATTGTCACACAACACAGGGAAAAGAGAATGGACCCTACATTACGCGTTTGGGTATCGCGGGTTAGACATTGTAGTCTAACCGACTAAGACTGCGAGTAGAATAGGTATTTATAAGAGTCCCAAAAAGTTTTCACACGCATGCGGTACAGGTTATTCAGGACGCATGACTTTTACGTTTAAAAGATGAGTTTCGTTTAAAACGCAAGTTTGGTAAACAAGAATAGACGCGCAAGATTTTTGCATATTTCACAGAAGACGGTTATTTGTCACACAACACGTTGTCATATTAGGTCTTTAGAGCGAAGAACTTGAAAATAAGTGACATACACCAAAATCAAAGGCATCAGTTGACAGTATAACCGATGGAATGTATGTTTTTCTTCCACTTCTTGGTCGTAGGTTTCAATTTCCTTGATGTAGGTAGTCACTTGTTTGCGCATGAAGCCGAGATCATGTGTAGCGGTTTTTTTCTTTGACTATGGCTAATAATTAATCTAATATGGCTCCTGCCCATTGAGGGTTTTCTTTCATGTCTTTGCCCAAGTGTCTTAAAAAAAAGTTCTTTAGACGACGCCAAAAAAACGGTTATCGCACCAAACTAGAGACATGACAGAGTCAGGAGGAGGAAGAATCTTA